AAAAATAGACTTTTAATTCTGGTTGAACTTTTTTGGTATTGAAGCCATTATAACTTCAACAGCTCGTTGGTTAATTTTGTGCTTTATTTTTTTAAATGACCTCACTCACTTCAAGAGGTTGTGACACAGAATAATCATATTCTATTGAATTATCTACCATATTATCATCTACATTAAAACTCAATTCCTCATCTTGTGCATTACTATCTTGAATATCTATGTTTACAAACCTATTTCAAATGATATATCGCTAGGTTGTCTATCAAGATTAATATCTTCAGCTTGAATAGCCTATAAATTTTCATAATTTAGTATTTTTTTAAGAATAATAAAAAATATACATTGCTTACTTTGTGGTTTTCATCATCAATTATCATTTGATCTTTTTCATTTACTTTGACGAGGTTTATGATCTTTAGAAAGTTTTCTCTATTAATTATTACACAACTAGGTGTATCCAAGTTTATTGTATTGAATGTTTCGTCGTTGAGAGTAAGGGTAGCTGAGAGTAAGGGATCATTATTAAAGATTACTGCTATAGCTGTTTCACTTGTTGTCTTCCAAATAAAATTAATCGAATTTTTTATTATTTCATCTTTGTTTTCTATGGTTTCAATCATAGATAAATTTTCTGAGAAATAAAGAAAATATCAAAAGTGAGAAATATATATATATATGACAAAATATCATTTATTATACAATTTTTTAATATCAAAAATGTTATTTTTAATTATATAATTTATAACTATAGAATGCAAAATGATCAATTTCTGTTTGTAATATTTGTAATTTTTCCTACAATGGATCTATCTCAATGACTTTAATTATTTCTAAAACTAACAAGGTGGTTATATTTATATTTACTTCCATTTTATATTTTTTTTTCTTACTCCTTTAAAACTGTATGTGTGCTTGCGTGTGGAAAAAAAGACGCCAGTCAAAAAAGTAATTTGTTTTTTTTAATTGATAAGAAAAAAAAAGTAGGTTCATTTATAGTGTTTCATGTTCATAATAAAAAAAAGTCCAGAAAAATCTGGCAAAAAAATTAGAATTACTTGCTCTCTTAATCGAAGTATATTTATATAAAAATTCCTCCAAAACGTTAAATAGTGATAGAATGTGAATTAATATTGCCAAATTTGATATTAATCTGAGCTTTAAATAATTACCCTTCCTACTGTATTATCTGTAGTCTCCTCTGATGAATTTGGTTCATTTATTTAGACTTCTTACTTGAGCTCTGGAAGATACATATTATAAAAATATAATTTAATTGAATCCTTCAACAAAAAGCATTAGATCCAATTAAGTTGACCAATGAATTGTTGAAGTTGTAGCAGCTTCAGAGCCGAATGTACTGCTCAAGAAGATTACTTATTGCCAATAATTTTGTGGTCCAAAAAAAAGGTATTACAAATTAACCAACGAGCTGTTGAAGTTATAATGGCTTCAATACCAAAAAAGTTCAACCAGAATTAAAAGTCTATTTTT